TGAAATGTAATAATTAGATACATTAATATTTTATAATAATAATTAAAATATTANGTTTTTATCAAAACTTACTTGGATCAAATTTACTCTTTCGTCAATTATTAAAATTTGTAATGTAATAATTAGATACATTAATATTTTATAATAATAATTAAAAAATTGNTTTCGTCAATTATTAAAATTTGAAATGTAATAATTAGATACATTAATATTTTATAATAATAATTAAAATATTATTATTTTTTAATTTAATATAATGAGTGGATATATATTCTATTTTAGATTATGTAAAATTAAATGTTACAATTACATTAGTTTTATATTTAAATTACTTATTTATTGAATAAATATTTCAAGTATTGTTTTTTAATAATCAAAAAAATTATTGGTGAAAAACTAAAATAAAAGAAAGAAAAATAGAACTACATATTTCTAAAATTTTTAAATCAATAAATTGTATGTTGTATGTTACTTATTTAATTACTTGGAAGTTTTATATTATAGAATGACTCCTAAACAACACGATATTGATTGAGAACATGCAACACCTGTTGGTGGTGATCAAAGAATTATAAAGTATAATTATTTTGTAAATATAGTTCACGGTAGTATTATTCGAATGAAGCAGTATATTGCACATGTATCTGGTCACGTGGAAGGATGTCCACATGCACCAAAAAAAGTGTCACAAATGTTAAGACAACATCTCAATGATTGTAGTATGAAAAGAGCTTCTGTAAAGAAGAAACAAAAAATAAATTATACAATCATTACAAAATGAAGATAAGTCTTCTGCTAATAGTGATGATGAATATCGTGATTTTGAGTATTATCAACATGAGAACTGGTCAGTACAACCTCTNATATTATAGAATGACTCCTAAACAACACGATATTGATTGAGAACATGCAACACCTGTTGGTGGTGATCAAAGAATTATAAAGTATAATTATTTTGTAAAAATAGTTCACGGTAGTATTACTCGAATGAAGCAGTATATTGCACATGTATTTGGTCACGTGGAAGGATGTCCACATGCACCAAAAAAAGTGTCACAAATGTTGAGACAACATCTCAATGATTGTAGTATGGAAAGAGCTTCTGTAAAGAAGAAACAAAAAATAAATTATACAATCATTACAAAAATGAAGATAAGTCTTCTTCTAATAGTGATGATGAATATCGTGATTTTGAGTATTATCAACATGAGAACTGGTCAGTACAACCTCTATAGTCATACTACTCTAATTATGGGTCATCTAGCTAATCAACTCAACCAACTCAATCAGACTCGTATTCACACTTGTATTTTTATCCTTATGATGGACATTATCTTAATTTGTATTATCCTACAGGTAATAACGATTATTTTGAGCCACATCGTCGTTTAATGTGGCAATGATTATGGCTTATTATGTTCCTAAATGCTTACGATGAATATTGATAATGATAATTATTTTCGGTAGCATCTTTATATTCCATTTTAATTACGTTTAATCTGTTTTTGGATATATTGTGGACATATAATGCATGAATGATGATGTTTACATTTTTAAAATTTTCTATAATTTTTTCAAATTTTTTTAGAGCTTGTATTTTGTGTTTTGAGCGTATCGGTCGATACCGCGTTGTAACTGATATGTATTAGTACCCTCTGAGTCAATGGTCGATATCGCGACTTTGAACCATGCATGGACATCCATAGTGCTATGGTGTGCAATTACATAGTCTTTTGTTATATATATATATAGTATACATAAAGTACAATAGTATTTTTAAATTGAGATTGATGGGAAAGTGAAATTTTCACTTCTCTATATAACATTTGGAGTATGTGAATTGAAGGGCAAAGACGTGAATCCCATATTGGTTCTTGGAGGTTATTCATGGATTCATCTTCATCTATAAATAGAGGAAAAACTCCATCATCCACTGAAGGTCTCAAAGAATCCTCTTAAAAAGGAGACCTATATTATGTATATTAGAAATCAAAAGAGAGAGACAACATTCGAACGCTCAAACAATGTTTCAAACGTTCTTTGCTCCCAGTACTTTTTTCAGAATCTCAGTTTTTGACTTAAACTGAGATACTAGGACTTCGGTTGAATGCAACCCCACATTCGAACGTGACTTGCTCCCAATACTTTGGCAAAAATCTGAAAATATCTCAGAATCAAGATATTGAGATTTGAGTACGTTCGAATGTGGCAATCTCGTTCAAAAGTGACAGGCATTCGGTTTGAAATTAGTCTCTAATGACTATATTATTACAGTCCTTTCAAGGGAGATGTCTTTTGCTATGGTTGTGAAGGTTTACACTCTTTCATTGAGAGATGCATAGAACACTATAAATAGGATTCATATGTAAGAACAAAGAATAAACAATTTAATCCTTCTTATTCTCATTGATTCAAAGTTTCTATATTTTCTGATTTTATATTCGAGTTGAGTTTTGATTCCAAGATTCTAAGGAGTGCAGTTTTTTATAATCTTAAAGTTAGGCATTGTATTCTAAGGGTAGAATTTCTAAGAGTCCATCTGCATTATAAATTGAGAAATTACTATCTCAAACATAGCGAATATCGCACCTTGTTTAGAGATCTATCTTCTTCGATTCATTACTTTTCTACTACTTGAAATTGTTTTTCCACACAGTATTCTGCAACATCTTTGGTATCAAACCCCCAAAAAAGTTCAAAAATCTTACTAGCTTCTTTGTCATGCCCTCTAGAAAAATTAAGTCTTGCAGGCCGCAGTCTGTGTAATGATGCTTTCCTGTGGATTTTAGATCTTTTTTAAAAAAAATTATTAATGAAATCAGAGAGAGGGGAGATCACCCTTGGATTTTAGTAACCTCTCCTTTCGGTAGTTCTAGGATTCAAGTGCAAACCATATTTATACCCCGCCAGAGAGTATTAGAGGTCTTATTGGTCTCCAAACGCTTATTATAGATTCGTGCAAAAAGCTCAAATTACTTGCAAGGGAGTAAAAATTCAATGTACTAATTGATAATTAATAGATTGAATTTATGATCTAATGAAATGAGTTAATATTGTTAACTTCCATTAATTTATAATTAATAGATTAAATTTATGATCTAATAAAATGAGTTAATATTGTTAAGTGATCTATTTTGATAGACTTATATACATTCTTTTAATAAATGTGATTGAGGCGATAAAGTATAGACCTTAATTTAATTACGGTCCGTAATGAGAGAGCTTATTAGATTTATTACAAATAATAGATTAGGTCACCTCTCCACTTCATATCTTAATTTAGTTTGTTTTATTAAGAATTGTCTGTTGCTTTGAAGAATTAGAGAAAAATATTATCCTCTTACGAAAAAAATTTAAAGATCGAGGATTATGAGTAACATATACATGTTCTAAACATTATAATTTAAATGCTCTAAATTTCACGAATCGTTAATAAATTTTTACAATTTATTAACCTGAAACCCCATCTTCAAGATGGACTTCTAAAAATGAACTTTCAAGCTCAAATACTACGGCCCATTTTTCGCTTGTCTTGGATTCATTTGATGCTTTGCTTTTTAATTTTTCATGTTTTGGTTGAAGCAGAAGTGGTTTGTTGTTGGTGGATATGTTAGAGATTCTGTCAAATGTGTTCTTAATTTTTGTGTATGTGAACTCTTGGATATGTGGGTTTTCATTAGATGCTCTTATAGATGTGTTCCTAATGTGTTGTGGATGTGAACTCTTGGGTTTGTGGTTTGTGGGGGCTTTGGAAATCTTCCGTTACAATGGTGAAAGTTATGTAGATGCTAGTATTTGGGATTTCGGTCGATGAATATACTGCAAAATGAAATCTTTCTGCAGATATGTAAATGTTACTTGGTTTGTTTGTCTTCTTGGTGTAGTTGGGTTTTCTGGGTTTGGTTGAGTTGAAATCATTGGACAATCAATATTCATATAGTCTGACTCTAAAAAGTTGGAACAAGGCTTTGTTGAGTTTAATAGAAGACTTCTTTTGTGGAGAAAATTAGGACAGGTTTGATTTCGTGTTTGGAATGGTAGTCTAACTCCAAGGAGAAGTTGGAAATGATATCAAAAACACATTTGATGGTTGTTTATTTGATTTGTGGCCTTTTAAGGGTCATTTTCCGCATTTCCAGTATTACTCTTGTTATTGACAGATTAACATGTATATTGATGTGTGTATTCACAAAGATTTGATATTTAATGTTTTATATGTTATTTTGAGATGTGTTTTTTCCTTACTGAAGACAGTGTGACAGATAAATTAGCACCCATGATTATATTAAGCAAATCGATTTATGTTGAAGTCAATTAAATGCTGCCTTAACTCCTGTGTTGTACTGTTTATATGTTGGTCGGGGACTGGATCTCAGATATTGTTTTGGTGTCCTGAAATAATATACATTTTTTGGCCATTCAGTAATATTTTTGTTACAGGATTTTATTTAGGGTATAAGTTGACAACTCAGACTAATTTTTGGACTATTCTGAATTAAGACCCCCAAAAAAAAGGATTTGAATTGTGGTATAAGTTGACAACATAGTGACTAGTTTTTTAAATGACTTTAATTACGAAAAACCAAAATCATGGAAGAGATCGTTTATGAATGATGCTCTAGGTTTTTTTTTCCTTATATAATATTTTTTGAAATTGTATTATTCCATTGCTGAGTAATGCTTGAGTTTGGGATTTCTTGCCATGACTATTTTTAGATGCAATGCAAAGATCCCCTGCTATAGGGTAATTGAAAATTGGTTGGATTGAAATTGTGAGCTTCTGGATTACTATATTTTGAAAATATCCATGACTGTTATTCTTGATCCTAGTGTTGTGGGAAACATGTGCGATTTTGTGCAAAGCACTAGACTATATTCAAAAGCCCTGCTTTTAAACGTATAAAATGTGCTGATTAATTTTATTGGTAGTATTTTTATTAATCTTTTGATATTTATAGCATTGTTATTGATATCGTTGGCCTTTTAACCATATACTTTTGCAGGCTCTTTGGCATTAAAAATCACAATGGCATTCTGCAATAGATTTGGAAGTCTCATGAGGCAGACCATTTCATAGAGCAATGTGTCTAATGGGCAAGTTCCAATGGCATCAATGCTTAATGCTATTCGTTGCATGTCGTCTTCAAAGCTTTTTATTGGAGGTATGCAACATAATAATGTTTACAGTGGGTTAAATACTTTTTCTTTAGCTATAAGACTCCATGTCACTGGGATAGTGACTGTGAATACCTATTTATTTAGGTCTCTCATATGGAGTTGATGACCAGTCTCTCAAGGATGCATTTTCCAGCTTTGATGATGTTACCGAGGCTGAGTTTTACTCTGCTGCACTATATGGATTCAGATCACAAAGCATGTTAATTTGCTTAACATATATGAGCTCACTACTGTTTTCTACCAGAATAATGAATACTGATGATCTGNCAAGGATGCATTTTCCAGCTTTGATGATGTTACCGAGGCTGAGTTTTACTCTGCTGCACTATATGGATTCAGATCACAAAGCATGTTAATTTGCTTAACATATATGAGCTCACTACTGTTTTCTACCAGAATAATGAATAATGACGATCTANGATGATGTTACCGAGGCTGAGTTTTACTCTGCTGCACTATATGGATTCAGATCACAAAGCATGTTAATTTGCTTAACATATATGAGCTCACTACTGTTTTCTACCAGAATAATGAATACTGATGATCTGTGGAATGCTTGATGCAATTCTACCTTTCTAACATAGAAAAATGTTTCCAATTTTCCTTGAAATATGATCAACTTGTCCTGCCACTTTGTTCTTTTGGTGGATTATTGTCTTTTTGCTCGAGAGGAAAACCAGTGGAATAGTATTTGTGTGAGGGAAGCAGCCAAATTTTGTTTGCAAGAGTATTTGTATAGCTTCTATATTTGTCTGATTCAAATCCATTCTTTTGCATTGCTAAAATATGATGACATTGATCCACTATTTTGCTAATGAGCACCATACGTCCCTTTCATTTACAAGTAGTGACTGACCCTTTTGCATGTTAATGGTTTTTAAAAGTTGGGGATCTGGAAGGTAGTTGCTTTGTTTCTTTGGATTTGCCTTTTTTTCCCTCTTTGTTTCTTTTTCAAATATGCAGCTCTTTCCGCATGTTAGTGGCGAATTTGAACAATTCAACCAAGATTACAAATGTGGTATCCGAGTTAAATTTATAATAGGCTGGTTTGCTGATCCAAATTAAGGGGTTTTCTCTAGTATACGAAATGGTTTGTCAAGGTATTTTATCTTTCTTTTCTGGGCTGATTTTCTTCTCAAAGAAAAGAAGAGATCTTAGTATGGTCATATTATATTTATTTTAGTTAAGATTTTTTATGAATTCAAGTGGTTGCATGCTTGATTCAGGCCAAAGACCCAGACCTCACCCCTCTTTTCTCGGATGGAGCCTTGTTTTTAGTATTATTGTTATTGTTATTATGGTTTTTTTGGTAGTGGTATTTGTGTTTGGACCAATGATTCTATTGTGTTCAGTTATTATATGATTTCCAAATGACAATATGCCAATGACAGTTCTTGAATGCATGAAAATTTTCTTGGTTTTGGTGAATAGCGCAGGTTATCATTGACAGAGACTCCGGAAGATCAAGGGGATTTGAATTTGTGAACTTCTCTAGTGATGAATGTGCAAGCTCGGCAATGTCAGCCATGGACGGACAGGTAAGAGAATTAAATTGATTAGCAAACATGTGTATTCCATAAAGAGTATTTTTTGACTCGGGTTCCTTCCTCTTCAGCCACTGGATGGGAGGAACATCCGTGTGAGTTTTGCAACAGACAGAGCCGGTCCTCCTCGAGGTGGTGGTCCAGGTTATCGTGGTGGGTTTGGTGATGCAGGGAGGAATGATGGATATTAAATCACTGTTGCCTAGGTTCTGTTGTCTATAGAATGACTATGGCAACTAGTTTAGTAATTTAGGATGGTGAATCGTATGACTTTGAGTGGAGTTGATGAACTACATATGTTACTAATGCTTTTAATCCCCCTTTTTGCCTGTTATTGATTATTAAGTGTCTCATGTTATTCCAAGCTGTGTATTGTTTTTTTAAATATTGGGATGGTGCTGTACTTTTATTTTTTGGGACTGAAAACATAAGCCAAGGAACTAAATTTTGTTTTGAAACCTTTTAAATGTTTTTTTTTTATGGAAATTGAAACAAATTAATGATTTAAGTTTTAAAATTTATATGTTTGGTATGTTTCACGTGTTTCAGTATATTTTATAATATAAACAAATATTCAGTTTCTTATTATAATGTTTTCTATATTGTATTCTTAACTATGTGATTAGTTTTACATCACCATAATTATAAAATGTTCATTACAAATATAACAAAAAAAATTGTTTCATTCTGTCTTTTGAACTATATAAATTTTTTCACTTTGCCTTAATATGTTGACAATTTTCGTTTAAAAAGATAAATATGGTTGGGGCAGTGTTAAAATAATTCGAGGGGATAGTGTGAAAAATTTAATAGTTCAAAGAGCAAAGTGACAACGAGTGCATTGTTTTATGGGTCAAAGTGTAATTTTCCCCTTTCAATTCCTTTCTTAGTTTCCATCATTTTATTGAATTGTTTGTCTTTCTGAAATGTTTTTATTTCTAATATGACTTAAACTATGCAGCGAAACGAAGTATTGATCCTTCGTGTCGGCCAACTCAAATTTTTAAACAATTTAATCTCAGTTCCCAAACTGCAAAAATAGGAAGCAATGGGGACTGAATTAAATCCGAAAGTTGTCACCATTTGTCTGTATATTTTGAATTAAATATATTCACCATGTTGAACATCGCTTGTTGGAACATTAGGGGCTTGAACGACCCCATCAAACATCATGAAATAGGGAAAATCATTAGCAATCAACAGCTTGATATGATTAGCATTGTGGAAACAAAAGTTAAACCTGTAAATAAGGATTGTGTTTTGAGGAAGGTTTTTAGGCAGTGGAACTCCACTTCCAACTATAGTAGTCACCCTTTTGGTAGAATTTGGGTTGAGTGGAACCCGAATGTTTTGAAGGTAAATAAAATTACTGAAACTGACCAGTTTATCTTATGCAATGTACAGTNCTCCACTTCCAACTATAGTAGTCACCCTTTTGGTAGAATTTGGGTTGGGTGGAACCCGAATGTTTTGAAGGTAAATAAAATTACTGAAACTGACCAGTTTATCTTATGCAATGTACAGTCATTGATGGTATTTTTGATTTTTATGTGGCTTTTGTGTATGGGGCAAATGATGACCAGGAAAGAAAGAGACTTTTGGTTGACCTCAAGTATTTTGCTCTCACTATTGCTCCTATCCCTTGGCTTGTTTTGAGAGACTTTAATGTTGTTAGAGGAGTTCATGAATCTGTGGGGTGTTCTGGGAGAAGAACTATTGCCATGGAGGATTTTGATGAATGCTTGCAAAGTGCTGCGCTTGAAGACCTAAGGTTTTCTGGACATTTTCTCATCTGGTGTAACAATAGACATAACTGTGGCATTGTTTGGAGGAAACTGGATAGAGCTCTTGTCAATGAATATTAGCTCCATAAATTTCAAGTTTCTGAAGTTGTGTTTTTGCCTNTCTGGTGTAACAATAGACATAACTGTGGCATTGTTTGGAGGAAACTGGATAGAGCTCGTCAATGAATATTGGCTCCATAAATTTCAAGTTTCTGAAGCTGTGTTTTTGCCTCCTGGAATTTCTGATCACAACCCAATTTTAGTGAGGATTGGCCCCCAAAAAGTGAAAGGTAGATACCCATTCAAATTCTTCAATTTTTGNGCTCCATAAATTTCAAGTTTCTGAAGCTGTGTTTTTGCCTCCTGGAATTTCTGATCACAACCCAATTTTAGTGAGGATTGGCCCCCAGAAAGTGAAAGGTAGATACCCATTCAAATTCTTCAATTTTTGGGTTGAAAGGGAGAACTTTATTCACATTATTGCACAAGTTTGGAGAGTGGAGGTCCATGGAACTCTACAATACCAAGTGTGCACCAAACTTAAGAAACTCAAAGTACTCTGAAGTTATTGGGGAAGGAGTCTGGGGATGTGCTTATGAGANGGGTTGAAAGGGAGAACTTTATTCACATTATTGCACAAGTTTGGAGAGTGGAGGTCCATGGAACTCTACAATACCAAGTGTGCACCAAACTTAAGAAACTCAAAGTTACTCTGAAGTTATTGGGGAAGGAGTCTGGGGATGTGCTTATGAGAACTAATGAGGCCAGAGAGAAACTTGTTAATTTTCAAAACCAGCTGGTTGTTGACCCTCTCAACACCACACTTAAAAAGCAAGAGGAAGTACATATGCTCAAGTTCACTAAAGCCGCCAGAGAAGAGGAAAGCTTCTATAGACAAAAATCTAGAATCAAGTGGTTACAAGAGGGGGATAACACTGCCTATTTTTTCAAGTCACTTACCAATAAAAGAAACAGGAAAAAAATCACGTTGCTAAGAAGATCTGATGGGTCTCTTGCTTGTAATGAATCTGAGGTGAAGAAGGAAGTCATTGATTACTACGTCCAACTTCTTAGGGGTTCTTTCCCAACTATGAATTCCTTTGACAGGAAGGTCCCGTTGAGCAGGGTTATTCATAACAAAATTTCAACCGAGCAAGCTCTTTCTCTGTCTAGAGATATCACTCCTATTGAAGTTAGAGATGTTTTCTTTTCTTTCAATGAAAATAGAGCTCCTGGTCCCGATGGCTTCAATGGGTGTTTCTACAAGAAAGCTTGGCCTGTCATAGATCAAGATATCACAAGTGTTATTATGGAATTCTTCTCCTCTGGCAGGCTCCTCAAGGAATTCAACACAACAATTGTTGCTCTTGTCCCAAAGGTTCCTAATCCCACTTTTGTTGGGGATTTCAGACCCATATCATGCTGTAACGTTTTTTATAAGGCTATTGCTAAGATCATTGCAAATAGGATCAAAGTGGTTTTGCGGAATATAGTTGGTAACAACCAAGCTGCTTTTATGCCTGGGAGTAGGATTGGGGATAATATCCTTCTCACACAAGAAATTTTGAGGAACTACCATAAGAATAATGGGACTCCCAGATGTGCTGTTAAGGTTGACCTCATGAAGGCTTATGACACTTTGAACTAGGATTTCCTTCTTGATATTTTGGAGACCTTCAATTTCCCCCCTATTCTTAGAACCTGGATCAAAGCCTGCATCTCTACCCCCAAATTCTCTATTAACCTTAATGGTGAACTAGTTGGTTTCTTCTCCAGTTCCAGATGCATTAGACAGGGGGACCCCTTTCTCCTTATCTCTTTGTTATGGCCATGGAAGTTCTCACTCTCATCAATCATCACCTCGTCTCCACTTGTCAGGGTTTTAAATTCCACTAGAGATGCAAAAAGATTAAACTAACCCAGCTTACTTTTGCTGATGACCTCTTTCTTTTTTGTTTTGGGGATTTCAGGTCTGCTAGCTTACTTAAAGAAGGCTTGTACTTGTTCCAGCATATGTCGGGCCTTCAAGCTAATCCCAGGAAGAGTAATATTTTTTTGTCCTCTGTCAGCGATGAGGTGAGGGCCTCCACTAAGATGGTTTTTTGATTTGAGGAGGGGGATTTGCCTATCAAATACTTGGGTCTTCCCCTTATTTCTTTGAAACTTAAAGCTGCCCATTGTTATCCTCTTCTTGAGAAAACGGAAGCTAAGATCAATTGTTGGACCAATCGAAGCTTGTCTTATGCAGGAAGGCTCCAATTGATTCATTCTGTGTTGTTTAGTTTACAGCTTCACTGGGCTTCTCATCTGAAACTTCCCCAACAACTTCTTGACAGGGTTGAACAACTTTTAAGAAGATTCCTGTGGAAGGGTAATGAGCTCATCAATTATGGTGCTAAGGTTGCTTGGAGTGATGTATGTAAGCCTAAAGAGGAGGGAGATTTAGGTATCAAGAACCTGAGGCAGTTTAATGATGCTTTAATGCTCAAGTATTTATGGAAACTCTTTACAGACAAGTAGAATATATGGTGCATGTGGATTCATTCTTATCACTTACATGGTAAAAGTTTATGGGAGGCAAAGCCGTCACAATCTAGTTCCTGGAATTGGATCCAAATGCTCAAACTCAGAGACCTCATCAAACCTCACATGGTGCATATTATAGGGAATGGTTCTAATACTTACCTATGGTTTGACAACTGGCACCCAAGTGGGCCTTTACTTGGTACATGGGACCAGCACATCTTCAACACTTCAAGACTTCCGAAGGATGCTAAAGTGTCTATAATCATAGATAACAATCATTGGGCATGGCCGGCGGGTAGATCTAGGATTTGGATGACCTTAGTCGCTCTATGCCCAATTATTCACCAGATTCTACAAAGGAAGACTTTATCAAATGGACCCCCAAGTCGGATGGCAAATTCACCACTGAATCTGCATGGAACATCATTAGGACCCTGAACCCTAAAGTACCTTGGTACAATCTGGTCTGGTATGGACATCTTATACCCAGAATGAGTCTCATTCTTTGGTTGGCTATCAAAAATAGATTAAGTACAAAAGATAGGATCTCCACTTAAGCTCCACAGTTGGATTCCTCTTGCTCCTTATGTCATCAACTCCCATAATCTCACAATCATATGTTCTTTGAGTGCTCCTATGCTTTTGGTATTTGGACTCAAGGTTGTTCTCCTCAAGCTCTGTCTCTCCGTCACTGTTTACAACTTATGGAGGGAGAGGAATGATAGGATTTTTAATAATCGGGTTACATCTCAACAAAATTTGCTTTTCAGAATTCAGTCAACTATCAGAGGAAGATTTTCTCTTCTTAAATTCAAGGCTAATCCTCAGAATCTGCTCTTGGTACACCATTGGAACCTCTCCTCTATTCTTGTGTGAGTATTTTTATGCTCTGCTTTAGCCCTGGTATGGGTTGTTGTTCTATTGTTGATCTGTTGTGGGTGGCAGTGTTGTGGCTTGGGGCTGTTTGCGAATCTCTATGGTTCCCTCTAGTTTTCTCTGCTTTTTGGTCACTTCTCTGGCCTGCTTGTGGAGTGGGGTTTTTGCTTGTTGGGTTGTTCCCTGATCGTTCTTAATGTTGATCCTTGGTGCATATTTTCCTGTTCACTCTATTGTTTAGCACTTGCTGGTATTT